TGTTGTTGTTTTTTTCGTTTTCCCTTTGGTTAATTTGGGTTTGGGTTTTGGGTGTGGCGGGTGTTACCACGGCTTTTTTTTTTTTCTTTAATAGGGGGGGCTTTGTTTGCTTGGAAGGAACTGTTTTTGTATTATTGTTCGCGTTTTTTTTCTTCCCCCCACCCCTTTGCGTTTAAACCTTGGCCCTCAATTTTTGGAAAGGAAGGGGCTTTTCGGAAAAACCATTAAGGGGAAAACATTTTTGGGTTTCCCCGTTCCCCTCCCCCCCCCCCCCCTTATCCGTACATTTCAATACCCCTGTTTCCGTTTTCTGAAAATGAAGCGGCTTTTCCTTCAAACCAGTCAACGGCGGCCGACACATTTGCGTTTCGCCGGTCCCCCCCCCCCCCTCCTCCCTGTTCTAACCCCCCCCGTCCTTTCTCTCTCGAAACGATGCGCGGCCCACCACAGGCAACGGCGGGCACATGCGGCTGAAGCTGTGCAAGACCCCCAAGCCGCCCCCAGAAAGCAGTCGGCCGGTGCGGTCATCGCCGACCCCGGCCTCCCCGGTGCAGGATGGGGGAGCGGGAAGGGAGGGGGAAGACGCGGCGGCCGCGATCCTGTACGGGGACAGCTGCGAGATGGTGGCCAAGAAAGTCAGGTTCGGACACCGAAGAAACGTGCGGCAGTAGCAGCATCAGCCGTGTGCTGATAACTGCCTGTAGGGAGGCGGTCTTATTCGTGTCCGGGTGTTTGTTTCTCGACGTCTTCGCGAGAGTGGCAAGACACTACACGATGTTTTGTTTTTGTTTTTTGGGGGGGGGAGGGGGTGCGAGAAACCGCAGTCGACGCCAATATGGCGGTATCGAAATGATGTGATGGGACTCTTTTTCTGCGTGAAACGGCAGTTGACTGATGCGGCAAGTTAGTTGGCGGCTTGAGCTGGGTTGGAATTTTTGTATTTGTGGGTATATGAGGAGTGGATGGTTCTCGAAGGAGCGTGTGGCTGCGGTACCAGACGCAGTGCATGGCCTCCTTGGTTCGAAACCCCGTCGGTCGAGCATTCGTTTCACCGTGCCCCCCAGCAGTCGGCGGCGAGAGAGAGAGAGGCAGACACAGAGAGAGAGGACAGGCAGAGGGAGAGAGAGAGAGGAAGAGTATGTGAGAGACAGGGAGAGCGCTTGCCGCTTGTCCCGGTAAACAACCCTGAGACCCCCCCTGCCGCCGCCGCCGCCGCCGCTTGACACGTTTACGTTTGTGCTCAGACCACATCGAGAAGGCGTAGTCCGTGCACCGGTTACCCACTTCCGTCGAAGACATCAGATCCAGCTGGGGGGATACCTCAGGAGCGATGGGAAGGGTTATGCCTGCGCCTTCACGATACACCACGCACCGCCTAGGGTTTCCATGGTGGGTTGCTGCTGTTGTTGCTGCTGCTGATGTTGTTTTTGCTGCTGTTGCTGCTGCTGCTGTTGTTAGTGGTGCTGCAGTTGCGGCTGTTGCTGCTGCTTCCGTTGGTACTGCTGTATGTTTTGCCACACGTGCTGTGGTAGTCTCGTTGTCGTTGACAAGGCTGCCCCCTTTCTTGTGGGAACAGGACTAGTAGATCCGTGAACGCTGGTGGAATACGAAGTTTTTGTTGCCACTGGTGGAAGGTCGTCGCGCGTCCGTGAACGCTGGTGAACTTCGGAACAGTTGCGCGGTTTGCTTTCGGTTGAAACACATGTTTGTGATTGTGTGGGCCCGTGAAGCCGCCCGCACCAGGTTCGAAATTTTGCAGCGATTCCGGCTGCTGCTGAAAAGTTCCCCCCCTCCCCTCGTTTCCTTTGCTGCGGTGGACGACTTGACGACCCCAGGTGTCGGTGTACTCATTCTCCGCCGATGGCACAGTGGCTGACACGCATACCCACTACAAGATTCCTTGGAACCAGGTGAAAAAATACAGGGGATTGTGTTGCTGTTGTTTGGTGGATTGTTGTTGGTCGTTTTCGTGTGGTGACGGTCTTATGGAGCCAGGTGCACTGGACGTGGGATGAGGGAGGGGCTCTGCGCAATGCTGTACGCTGTTGTGTGCGGGTTTTTGGTGTGATGGCTGTGTGATGGGACCAGGTGAGGGGATAGTGTAATTTTTTTTTGTTGTTGTGTAGTCTTCACGTCATGGCATTTATGTGTGCCGTTTGCTCCAACCCGTGGTCACACATACAATGCTGTTTTTTTTTGGCGGAATGGTTGTTGCGCGGTGGTTGACTGTCTGATGTTTGACGTCGGTGCTGCTACGGTATTCTCACTAGAGTGTGGACGCAGCGCGTTGGGTTTCCTTGCAGAATGCTGCAGTAGGGGTAGGGGACTGGGGGCACACGATCGGGCGGGGCTGCGTTCCGACCGTGTCACGCGCTCGCTTTTCCAATTCGGTAGTGATTGGTGTGAGGATATCACCAGCGGTTGTGTCTCGCGTACGGCGGTTACCCGCATCCTGTTTCGCACGCTCTGCGTGTGTGTGTGTGCGCTTCGCGTGCTTGATTGCTCTGTTGCGATGCACTTGTCTGCTGTGCTCTTTTTTTGGGTGAATAAAAAAAAAAAATGGTGCGGGATCGGCGTGGGCGCAGGAACTGGAGTTCGAACTACCGGTGGAGGATGACTCGGGCAGGGGACAGGGGGCAGGCGGCGACGAGGGGGACTCTCCCTCCGACGACGAGTACTCCAGCCTGCCCGTCTTGAGGGTTAACCTCAGCAACGGGGGGGAGGTTGCCCTACGGTCACGC